GGTAAATAACCGGCGCAAATGTGCGAAAACTCATTACACGCCTCCGACAACTAAATCCTACTTACATTCAAGTTATAAAGGGTATGACAGTAAAAGGGTGGACGATAGTCGAAGAAAAGGAACGCTTATTTAGCGAATGCGGTCGTGTGTACTAACGGCGTCCGAAACCAAATTCTGGAGAAAAAAGAAACGGCAGCAAAGATGTGCACACAAAAAATCGGACATGAACGCGCAGGAGACCACCCAACATACCAGAAGAGGAGGTGCATTCTTGCCGGACATCCATTCCTCGGCGGAGAGTGCGGGCATATCACTGGCAGTGTCCGGATAGAGGTCGTCCTGGTAGAGGGCTGACTTGCGAGGCACAGTGAAGGAGATGACCTCACAGAAGCCTCTGGTGTGCAGCTTGTAGAATCTGGCGATCTCGTTCTGGTTCACGTCGAGACCGCGTTTGGGCATCCAACCCATACCGCGCTGCGGATCGGTGCTGGTGAGTGTGTCGATAAAGTAAACAAAGGGCTCCTCGTCCGTGATCTCGAAGTACCGAATTGAACAGTCACCCTGGACATGAAAAAAAAAGAAAGGAAGATGGTTCTTACCAAAATATGATAGAAATTAAAAATGAGGTTTCTGGTCGAAGAAAATGCCACTGTGTGAGCAGGAAGTGAAAAGGTAATGCAAAAATTGGGGAGTGAGGGGGGGAGGGGACAGTTGTGGTGTGTGCACGAAATGGGAATAGAGGCAGCAAACTAAAACCTCGGTTGGCCATTCGTTAAGAATCATCAAGTGATCAGCAATCCGTACACTACAGAGCGGGCGATTAGGTCCCACACCGAGAACAATAAGCGCCCTCTATGATAGCAGGTGGCTATCTTCATCGGATTATGACTAGCGGTGATTAGGGTCAAGGGCTATCTCGAGGTATGAGTCTAGTTGACAATGAGAGGAGATGGAGGTTCCACAAACTGTGATGGTTGAATCGATTCTGGTCGCACTTAGGTTAACGCAACGCCAATTAACCAACGTGATCTGGGTCCGAAAGATGTGATCGTAATGTGAACAGGGAGGTAAGCTTGGAGCTACGCTAGTGGTGTTCCACGGCACCGCTTCGAACCTTGAAAGTGTACTTCTGTCAGTAGGGAGAAGTTTAGACAGTGATGGGTCTTCGATGATGAACGCCCACCGATCACTAGCGGCACTCACTCATTCGTCTGGTTCTGCCCTGGAGCATGCGCTCGAGCCCCGCCAGCAGCTGTAGAGTCGCTAGTAGTCTAGACAGATTAAACTTACCGGCAAAGACCTGGGAGACTCGTATGGACATTTCTTGCTCATTAGCTGCCATCAGCCAACCACCAACCGAGGCTCGAAACCCGCCACCTCTTGAACAAAA